GCAAGAAAAGGAAAGGTGGGGGGGGGAGGAGAAAGAGAAAGAGAAGGGAGAGAGAGAGAGAGGCATTGGTTGCCTCCTGTGTGCCCCTTAGTCTGAGGGACTGGGACAGAACTGGGCCCTGCCAGGGCCCCTGGGAGGGCTTCAGCTGGAGAAACCTAACAGGGTGATTGGCAGATAAGGGGTCAGGACTTTACCCCAGGTCCCCGAGGACTTCAGGTGGAGTTTTGGGAGTAATCTGAAAGAAGTGTGAACACTGAGCCACCTTTTCCCGTCCAGGTGGACCCGCCCCTGCCGGGGAATAAATAACTCAAAGATATTGATGGTCACCTGTTGACCGGGGTTCAAACCTGCAACCTTTTTGGTGTACGGGAGGACACTCCAACCCACTGGGCCACCTGGCCAGGGCGTCCCATAGGACTTTTTATCTGACTCTTCCATTCTCTCCCAAAACTCTACCTTAAGTCTTTGGTGACCTGGAGGTAAAGTCCTGGCTCCTTATCTGCTATTCAATCACCCATCTGGGTTTGTCCAGCTGAAGTCCTGACCATGGGAGATGGGAGTGTCCAGCTCTGACCTGGTCCCTCAGACTAGAGGGGTCCCTCAGACTAGGGGCTCCAAATCCTTAGGGACCCAGCATTGCTCAGCATGAGGCTAGATCCCCTGAATGAATGAGTCCACGAATGAAGGGCAGCTCTCCAGCTGAGCCGCAGGGTCAGTGGCAGCCTTGCTCCTGCCTTCCCCACAGTCAGGGCCAGGAAATAGCCGGCTCCAACAGGACCAGAACCCAAAGATGTGTTGGGGGTCCCCCCTCTTGCTGGTGCTGAGTCTGTCCCAAGAGGCTGCTGGGATGATCCCCGGGTTCCTGCCTCACACAGAAAGCTGATAGAAGAGTGAATACTGAGCCACCTTTTCCAGTTTAGGGGGACCCTCCCCTGCTGGGGAATTAATAACTCAAAGATAGCTAACCCCTAGGTCACATGTTGCTCAGCTCTCTGGCAAGGGACACCAGTCTGAACCGCAGTTTTCTCATCTAGAAAATGGCCATAAAGTGATGTAAAATCCCTAGGGGTTTCATGGGATGAAAGGAGTCGAAGAATGGAGATAAAAAGCTTAGGCTAGTCTTTTTAGAAGTGCCTTTCATTTCTCTTGGTGAAATCTAAAGGGAGTTTGACTTTCAGGAAGGAAAGAATTGAAGTTCTTACCTTTCCTTATCCCTTTATCTCCTCCACAGCGGTCTATCCTTATCTCACCTCTTCTCCTAGGTTCTCTCTCTTGAGCCCTCAGGACCCCATCCACACCCATTTTTCAGGCTTTTTTTTTTTCTTCATAAAAGAATGCATGTTTCCCTGGATGATCTATGTCAGCGTGGGAGCTGGGCTGGGCTGGGCTGCTCGAGCCTCAAGTTTATAAGTGGGTTCCTGTCTGTTTCCTAATTTCTATCTGAATTTCTGATTCTCTGCCTGTATGTCCAGCATTCAATTACGTGACAGATATTTATTTTTAATTTGTATTTCAATTAAATGTATTGGGGGTAACATTGCTTAATAACATTATATAAATATTAAGTGTAAAACCTTAAAATCTGACATCTGTGTGCTCCATTGTGTGCTCACCACCTGAAGTATAATCTTATTTCCTCACCACGTATTCTGTTGTCTCAGATATTTCTTGAGCTCCTACTATGCGCCCGGCATTGCTGGAGGCAATGCAGTTACTAAGACTGTTCAGGTCCCTGCCTCCCAGCAGACAGTTACAGCTGGGAGGGGGGAGAGCAGATGCTCAGGGCTGTGATGGAAGCAGCCCAGGGCACTGTGGGAGCCCAGCGTAGTAACTGACTAGGGCCTAGAGCAGTGGTTCTCCACCTTCCTAATGCCGCGACCCTTTAATACAGTTTCTCATGTTGTGGTGACCCCCAACCATAAAATTATTTTCGTTGCTACTTCATAACTGTAATTTTGCTACTGTTATGAATCGTAATGTAAATATCTGATATGCAGGATGTATTTTCATTGTTACAAATTGAACATAATTAAAGCATAGTGATTCATCACAAAAACAATATTTAATTATATATGTGTTTTCCAATGGTCTTAGGGGATCCCTGTGAAAGGGTCGTTCAACCCTCAAAGAGGTTGTGACCCACAGGTTGGCGACCCACAGGTTGAGAACCGCTGGACTAGAGGGTGCTGAGGCTTTCTGTCTGAGAATATTAAGAGTTAACGCGTCTATCACTTTTTGTTGTTAATCCTCGCCCAGGATATTTTTTCCATTGATTTTTAGAGAGAGTGAGAGGGAGGGAGGAAAAGAGGGAGAGAGGAGGAGGAGTAGAGAGACTAATCTATGTGAGAGAGACAATCAATTGGTTGCCTCCTCCTCGCGGAGGAACCGGGCCAGGGAAGGAACCTGCAACCCAGGTATGTGGCCTTGACTGGGAATCGAACTCATGACCCTTCCGTTCTCGGGCTGATGCTCTAACCACTGAGCGACCAGGGGGCTTATATCACTTTTAACATACATTATACCCATTCTAGAGATGGGGAGACTGAGAACCCACGAACTTAAGGGGCTTGTCCTAGCTGGAACAGCTAGGAGGCGGGCTGGTCCGGATCCCAGGATTCTGGCCGTGTAGGTTTAAAACCACTGCTGGAGGAGGCCTGGAGGCCAGAGCTGGCGGGGATGGGCGGGGGTGGAACTTGAAACCGCTTGTGTGGTGACCACGTCTGGGAAGACAGTGGAAGCAGAGTCGGGAGGGTCCAGAGCACTGCCTCCCGGGGATGCGTGCACCTGACTCGCTGTCAGGTGAACACTATGTGCCCTTGAGCACCTCTCCTGCTCTTTGGGCGTGTTTCTTGCCTGTGAAATAGGAGAGACTTGCTCCGCCTCCCGCCCAGCTGGGATGAGTAAATCCACGTGGGGTGTTGGCACAACTGGCGCTCATTAAATGCCAGCTGGTGTTATTATGACGACTATCCCCATTATTATCCTTAATAACTAATTAATTAGAACTAATGCGTCCTCTCCGCGCCCAATTGGGTGTCTCCGGCCGCAAAGCCACCGGACCCCGCGGAGAGAGGAACGAGCTGCGTCTAAGACCTTCCCCCAACATACATCCCAGCTCAGCCCATCCCCCCCCCAGCCCACATTTGGCTGGTAAAGCTGCGGACTGGCTTGGATGGCACGGGCCTGGCAACCGGAGTCTGGGTGGGGGCGACCCTTACGTCACCCCCAACTTCGTGGTGAGGGGTCCGAGAAGCCCAAATGACCGTAGAGCGCTAGGACCCCGCAGCTCTGTCGGAGCCGGGTGTGTAGGCCCAGCTTACCCCCCCAGACCACGCCCATCTCCAAGATGATTGGCTCGCCACACCCGGCACGCGGCCCCGATTGGCGGAAGAGGCCTGGATGCCCCGCCCCTCCCGGACCGTAGTCTCGGGGCCAGAGGCTCCAGGGCAGCAGGAGCGCTGGG